TAGCTATAACCTTTCTATAAGGCCGTTCGGCCGTAACCGTACGTTTTCTTAGAGTTAAGACTGATCTGAATTATTAATTAATGTGATTATTCTATTATATAGTTTTGTACTGTATTTTTGGGATGTTACACATTTCAAATAGAATGTAAATAGCTCAAATTTAAAAAGGAAAAATATGAATTTGTTGTAAGGATATAAAAGTTTAAAACTTAAATAAATTTTAATTTGGTATCAAAGTTTGGAGAAAAAACTTATCCAAACTTTAGATTTAAACATGAAAAACAATGTTTTAAGTTGCGATGTTTTATAAGATAATGATATTTTGACAACATTTTTTTTATAACATTTTAACATTATCTGCATGTCATTATGTGATTGGTCCATGTTAGTGTTTATGATTATTATTATTGATTGTGAAGTAATTTTGGACCAATCACAAAATAACACGTATTAAAATGTTATAAAAAAATGTTTTCAGAGTATCATTATTTTTTCTATAGAAGAGCATATAACTGTGGAGTTTGATGAAGTACGATGCTAAGATGGTAAGAAGGGACTTGTAAATGAAACGTACCAAAGTTGATTGAAAGCACATTGTTGAATATATTGAATAAACTTTTGAAGCAGTTTGAGGACTGCAGATGTTAGTGATGGAAATCGTCCTTGCAAGGAAAGGATAAAAATGATTCCCATTCACATCTTTTCTATTTGTCCATTTTCATGCTTCTTTATTCCATTTCCAACGCCTTCATCTATCAACTTTTCTTTACAACTATGTTTTAAGCCTTTTCTTGCCTTTTCCAACTTCTGCCTCAACAAAATGAATGAGATAGAGACACTACACACACCCATTCATTCCTCACTACATCCAAATTTACTTAATTACTTACTTTTTCATGTTGAAAATCTAAATATGAGTATAAATCTTATATTTGATAGAAATGATATATAAATATAAAAAATTATTAATTTATTATTTTAAGATTTTGGATAAAGAATGATTTTAATTTTTTATATAATTACTTTTATTTATAAAAGAAAATTAGTTGAAAGATTTTTCAATTTTTTTTTCCATTAAAATCTATAGTTGAAGATTTCTTTGGAATGATGTTTGTGTAGTTAGTTCCTTCAAGTTCAAGGTAGTACTTTTTAAAGATGAAGTAATCCCTAATTTTGTTGGGAATTGAAGTTCAATTTGACTTATTTGAAGCCACCCAAAAAGCATCCAATAGAGAATTGGTCATGTTGATCTTTCCACAAGCATTAAACTTTAAGCTATGAGACTAGTGCCACACCTTAGACCTAACCTCCATTTCTTACTACACTTTTTCCCCACATTTCCTAATTTTACAATCATACCATTTACGAGTTTTTTGAGAGAGATTAATCGGATTAACCATAAAGTCACGATATCTTATAAGATAATAGGTGCATAAACTTTCTTGATTAACCACAAAATTACCGTTTCTTGATTAAGCAAAAGCCAGTGATTTAGAAATCAATGATTTATGGTTTCTTCAAAGCGTCAAAAACACTGAATTTTGGTATTAACAAAAGTGCTAGCTTCAGAGAATCGTAATTCTTCACCAACTTATGCAGAGGCAGACCAAAACAGGCTTTGCAGAGCACCAAATTAATGTGGTATGGTGTGCAATGATCTGTTGTGTTCAACTGCTATTCATATGCAACAAGTACTTTACTTCTGCGTGTAGAAGGAGCTATAAAAATCAGTCAGAAAGCATTATTGTTGAAAATGAATCCATGCAACAGCAACAACAACTGAATGCAGAAGAGAAACACTTCAAGCTCTTCTCACATACCCTTCTGTTCATTTGAGCGAACATTAGTTTATCTTAAAAATGAACTTTAAACCTTGTTCAACTCGGTAGAAGTAGTTTGTAAACTGAGGTTTACACTTAATATATACTCTAAATCGATCTTATTGTCCATGTGGAATTGTAAAATGAGGTTTATTATCGTGGGACTTACATCAGTTTGAAGATGAAAGGAGTTTTAAGCTGATATTTTTGGTCAATAATAAGATCGGGTTTTAAACATAAATTTTATAAAATGTAACGTGAATGAAAGAGACAATGCATGATTAATTTTTCCATTTAGGCTCTTATTGATGTAGAGAAAGAGAGATGCAGAGTAAGAAAGGAAGAAGAGATACTAAAATGAAAGTCAATGTATTTACACATAGTCCAAAGAACAAAAGTAGAGGAACAAGAACAAGAAGCAAGGTACAGGCACGAAAACAACAGTTACCTGTCATTTTGTGCCCCAAAACATGTGCTTGCATTATATCATTCTTGTCCATCACCTTCACACGCATCTCTTTGTACCACTTTGTCTTCACGATGCAAACCATTCACCATTCAAAGTTTTACCTATACCTCGTTTTTCTAGTTCACATGGTAACTGGTAAACCTAAGAAGTACATGGAAAAACAAGACAGACCCCACTGGTTTGCAAGCAAACTAAAGCTGCCTCTTGCTCTTGTCTCTATTGCTGGAGAAGATTGAAGCCAAACCGAATAGGTTTGCAGGAGGAACATTCAGAACAGGATTCACTCTAACACTGCTACCATAGGATCCATGATGACTCTTGTAATTCAATGGAGGCTTTTGATAATAACCGTTTGGAACGTAGGAGTGAGACAACCTTGTGGAAGAATGTTTCTGTGAATTTGGCCTAATGTTGACACCACCCTCCTTTGAAAGTGGATTCCTTTTAACGTTTGGGGTTGATGATCCAGTTGAATTGCTTCTCGATAGAAGCGGCAAAGGACAAAAGCTCCTTCTGTGTCCATTTCCACAACTGCTGCTTCTTTTGAAGATCCAAAAGGACTTGGAACTTTGCTTCTCGTACACTTCATCGTTCAAACACTTGCTTTCTTTGGGGTTCTCTTTCTTTGAGTTTTTACAGGTAGGTGGAGCAGCATAAGGAGGAGGCAATGGAGGGTTATTCTTTGGTGCTAATTGGCCCGTTTGCTTTGGAGGAACGTTCTTTCTCTTGACCTCAGTGGGAAGGATCCTCCCATGTGAGAAAAGCTCGTCGGCCGAAGATGACTCCAGCTCAAAGCTCTCACTGACGTAAAAATCAAAATCAATGCCGGAATTCAAACCAGAGGAGTTTGATCTAAAAGGGAGTTGCTCAACGGGAATGACATCAGAGTGGGAAAAATCGTGTGAGAATGAGATTCTAGGACTCACGGAAGAGGAAGAAACTCCACAGTTTTCTGAGCAAAGATCAACTGCCATTTGGTTGAAAAGTTTGGAAGTTGGAAGAAGGGTCGAAGGATAAAAGAAAAAGAAAAGGGTTTGATAAGAGAAACACGAGAGTACAGCAGAGGATTTAAATGGTTGGAAAAGTTAGCAGAGCAGTGAATTTGATTGATTCAAACCTAACAAGGAATGCAATAAAAGAAGCATCTAAGACTGAAATGAAAAAGAATGCCATAAAGAGGGGTTTGAATTATTAATAAAGGTAGGAGGATGTTGAGTTTGCAACTTTACTGAGTGGTCCAAAGTGGACAAAACGGGATCAGAGGGATGGCTAAAAGGGGATATCCCTTCTGGTTTTTGTTTGAAGTGTAGCAAAGACTTAAACTTTTTGGTGAGGCTGATGAAGGGTCGTGCAGAGAGTGTTGTG